TTCCCCCACTCTGCTTACCCCTCTCCTCGCTGACCGTGTATGACGCACATTTTCTGACGTCATCGTTCTCTCGCCAGCCACCTCTGCTCGGGGCGACATGCTGCGTCGGATCGGCGGCCGGTGTTCGACGCACAACATGAAGGTGGTCTTCAAGGTGTGCTGTAACGAGACAAGTCAGAACCGCATCCCCGACCACGGCGGCCCAGGTGAGGTTGAACATCAGAGCTTGGAACAGCTTGGCAAGGGGCGCTCGCCCCAGGCGGCATTTAAAGCTAGGCTAGGGAATTTGAATTGACGTAGGAGCCTAAGCGTAACGGTGTAATGATCCTGCAGCTTCAGCCTTGGTCCCAGGTGACTGATGGCATCCTGTTATATCTCGTCGGGGCAAACACCCGTAAGGGGTGTTCCTCAGGGACGGAGGGCGGCCGGTGATGTGTCGAACCGACACGACTGGTGTAAACGGTGACCGCTGACGGCACGATCGGCGCCGCTCGCCTGCAGTTGGCGCCGCGCGGTATTCCCGACTTGGGGCGTGTTTGGGCGGGCCAGAATGTCCCACCGGGCTCAACTCCTCACCGTCTCGCACTGGCTCGCAGACCACAGTTTTGGTTGCTGACTTGCACTATATGTAATATGGCGTCTGGTGATCCCAGGTCAGGGTACGACATAGCTTTAGGCAACAGCTTGTGGTAAAATAGTGCACAAAGACCAAATCTTTTATCTATAACCTGCACGAATGCCACGTAGAGTCGACAGACGGTAGATGTGTGACCAATCTCAGCCACCGCCGAGGTTGTCGTCCCATGACCGCCGGTCGGCGCGCCCCCTCCACCCAGTGACATGACTGGCACCCCGGTGGCATGTTATTGATGACACACTGCTGGTATCATCACCCCTCACGGTCCGCCTCAGCTATACATCAAACACGGCGCGCATTGTTAGCAGCAGGATGCGGTCGGCCAGACACACCAGCATTTGCACATTTTGATATTCATGATATTCAATATACGACGGCGCGGTTTGCAGAGACGCAAACATCGGGATACGGTTTGCCGCGTATCGGATTTGGCTGGCCACGCGTGCATGGTGCTCACGGAGTCGGCTGGATGATGCAGATTCTGGCGTGGACTGCTCACTCATGAGACAGAGGGCTGTCGGCTGTCTGTGTGTGTGTGTCTGTCTGTGTGTCGTGTGATCGGGGCTTCTGGGAATCCATGGGGAGGATGGCTGAGTGACGTGTGTTGATCATACCACGATGGGATGACGAGACGTGACCTGAATAAGATGGTGTGTAGGATGGTATTCCGTAGCTGGCTTCTTTGTTTGAGCTGAGGACTTCCAAGTGTTCATTCATTACCCATCGGACTCTAAAAACCTACGCTTTTTGGCTTGTTATGTGCCTTGCTTCCGATAAAGAGCAGGAATCTTGTTAGTTTGGATAACGTTATCACAGTCCAGTTGCTTCCTTATTCTTGGCATCTCGGCCGTATTCCTCGCACGTCTCAGCAGCGTGTCTGACGGTCCCTCCTCCCTCCCTCAGCGCTGCTGCCGGGCCCGGGTCTCCAGACGCCGGCGCCGGCGCCGCCGCCGTTACCCGCCGACGAGGCTGTGTCGGAGACGACGCTGCCGCCGCCGGCGTGGCTGCCGCCGCGCGCGTCCTCACCGCGCAGCACGGCCCGGCCCACGCCACGGCACTCGTACAAGGGGGGCTACAATGTGCCGACCATCAACGTAAAGGCCACCACAGAGAAACAAGGTATGTGGAGAGCCGAGAGGAGAGGGAGGGACGGAGGGAGAGGGCACCACGCCCTGGGTCCCTGCGAATGTGTGTGATCCTGGAAAGAGTGAGGGATGAAGGAGCTACGGCGACTGGTGTCACCTTCTCTGTTGCGTTCAGAGAGATGTCAGGGTCGGCTTAACAGGCCGGTTTTCAGAATGGGTCTTACCGTGACAAGCCTGGATATCTGGGCTCTGCAGAGTTCAGACTTCTGATAGGGCGATAAATCTGAATTTGTATGTGTAATCGCCTCGTACATGAGCTCATTCTTGTCCATAATTATTGTTACGTAGGATGACAGTGGCTGCACCCACTGAATCAACGACCCATGTGTTAGTGTGACAATGTTTTGAGGCGATGTGTGCAGCTCGCTTTGTCAGAATTTGGAACTCATGCTCTGGGAAGCTCTAAACTTGTGACTGACACACACACTGCGCCTGTTTTCAGACGAATACGGCAAAAAGAAGCACCCGAACGACGTGGCCAAGAACGAGGGTCTGACGTCGTCGGCGTCGACGCCAGCGACGGGCGCGGTGCGCCGCGCGGACTTGATGTGTGTCTCTGTGGCCGTGAGCATAGCTGGGCTGCTGCTGCTGCGGCCGGGGCCCGGCTGATCGGCCGCCGCGCCCTAGCCGAGCTGTGAATACCCGCGGACTGTACAGCGAGTGGGGCCGCCGCGGTGCTGCCACCTATGGACGTCAGGACGACAGTGTGGTTGCGCTGCGCGCCGCCGCGGCGCTGCTGTCGACTCGGCGAGCGCCGCGTCAAGCTTTACTTTGTGATTGAAGATATTTTACCGGCCAGATGGCCATTGTGATACGTTTTACTTGTATTGACTATCTGTGAGTGTTACATGGATGATGACTGACGCCTTCCTTCTGTGGGCCAACCGTGTGCGTGTGCGTGTGTATGTGTGGGTGTACACACGATGTGAATAAGTCATAGTATGTGCGGCGGTCGGTAGCATTGGCCGGTGGCGGAGGGCCTTCGGTCGCCCGTCGAGCCGCGGGCCGCCGCTGTCGACAGACACCCGTTAGCGCAAGTGCCTCCAGTGCCGAGCCACCCGACTAGGAGTGAGGGAGCACGGAGGAGGGAGCCGCGTGATCGATCGCTGTATCTCGTTGTGTTCGTGTTGGCCGTTTGGTTGTTCAGTGGCGTGTTATGTGAGCTGTTCTGTCTCTCGCTCTGCCTCTGTCTCTGTCTCCGCCTCTGTGTCTCCACTGGACGTTCCTGACTGACCGATTTGCTCAGTGACTGTGTGCCGAACGAACCGACCTTACCTGGCGCCGCCGCGCCAACACGAACTTAGGTGTCATCAAAAGTCGCGTGCCATATGAACACTGTTTTCGTTGTGTTCCGCATTCTTTCAGGTCGACTGTTTTGCGTGTCATTGGGGCCTGATTGAACTTTCCATCTCCGTTCTGCCGGCAATCTGTGCTCATTTTGTTATGGTTTGTTTGGACTGCGTAAACCAGATGTACGCATGTGTCGAACGATTCTCCCACGATTACAATATCTTTTATATCTAGCCTGTAATAGTACCTAATAAATATGTGTCATGGACAACGGTGTTTCAGGTCCACCGAATACCATTTTCTTTCTACAGGGTGTTTCACAATAAACGTTACTTTTGATAAGCTTTTGAAATGACCTCAACTATTCGTATGCCCATAAATTCTATATTCATTTTGTTGCAAATTCCTTCGGGTTTTTTATTCTTGCAAAAACTATGACGAATCATCAACTGCATTCTTTATGTACGTGCAATGTCCACGCCATCAGAACGGGTCAATTCGCTGTTAAGCTTCAGGGTCCTTCACAATGAATGTTGCTTTTCAAACGACGATGTTTCAGTGACATGTATTACATATGGCCCATGAGTATTACCACATGAGACAGCAGTACAGTAACTGATGAACATATAACCTTCAGTTCAGCACCCTTCACGGGTTCTCCACTATGCCACCCTTCCGTCTGACTTTTTCAACCAGATTTTCTGGGATCGCCGTCCGGCCAGGAGGCGGGGCTGGTCTCATGTTTCCAGTCTTCTGGAACCTTTCTACCACCCGTTTGAAAGACATTTTTAACGGAATATTCTTCCTCCTTTTAAAATGGCTACCGAAACTCCGTCGCACTGCGGTCAGACTCCGCAAAGCGCCGTAATACATGACCACCCATACCGCCTCATCATCTGTACACGGCGAATTGACCCGTTTTGACGGTGTTGGCATTGCACATCCATACAGATGGAACCGTTGACGGTTTGTAAAAAAAAATATAAGGACTAAAAACCGCAACAAATTTGCAGCAAAATGCATATAAAATTTACGCGCTCACGAACAAGTAAGATCTTCATTTAAGCTATTCAAAAGTAACATTTATGCATTGTGAAACACCCTGTAGGATTCCATCGGGAAACAGGTACTATGCCGGTGGAGCATGTGGTATATTACAAACAAGCTACCACATTTTGTGCGATAACTTTGAAATGAAGCGGAAGGCACGTTTCTTCCGTCGAGAGACAAAGCAATGGTCACATGTCTCGGATTTTGTAGGATTTAAGTGCCCGCCTCGGTGAGGAAGGGGCATCATAAGAGGACGATCACATTCATCATAAGGAAGATCACATTTCAGTACATGCAGGTCACAAAAGCACAACACAAATAAACCGCGCACGTGAGACCATGTCATCAAAATTTGGTTAATAAAGCTGGTTAACATATCACAGAATACATACGGCCTGTATCAAGTCACAGATTGCCATACGAATTCAGCCGCTATATACTTTGCGTCATTGGATTGTTTGAAACAATTTCGCCCAAAATGCTACCTTTTTGCGCACAAATGACGAATTCAAATAGCGAATAACGAATTCAAGACCAAGCAAGCACAGCACAACATACGCGAATGGTGCTATAGCACAAATATGCTGAAAAGCGCGATTGAAGCTCTATTCGACAGAGCACAAATGTTGAACTAACACCACGCGAAAACAGCTACTGTACAATTTAGAAAACAAAGCATGCATATATAATATATCACAGATAGCATGTAACTGTACCGTTCACAAACACTCAGCATCACATGCTGACATCCCTTCAAACAGAACAACGCAACCGCACCCCACATCCACTCTATACATCACACAGAAGAGTGTAGTACTTGGCGTATTTGTAAGTGTAGTTGTACTCTCACCAGGGACATCGCCCCACGCCTCGACTAATCATTTGACGATGGACACCTTCCCGTCGCGGACCCAGCGGCTGATCACATCACCCTCATGTCTGTCCTCAGTGACGACGGAGGCTATAGGGCGGGGGCGGGGACGGGGGCGGCGGCTGGGCGGCGGGCGGCGCACGGGAGACTCCAGCAGCCGGTTTAAGAACGCGTCCATGGCCGTGCCGCCGCCTGAGGCAGCGGTGATCCGGGGCCGTTTGGGGGTACTGGGTCCGCTCGAGGAGACCCCGGTCTCTGGTGAGCGTGGGCCGCTCTCCGAGGTCGGAGGGGGTACAGGGTGTTCGGCGCTCTCTTCTACCTCCACCACCGGGGGCGGGGTGGCCAGTCGCGGCGGTGTGGCCAGGACGACCGAGTCATCGCTGTCGGCAGCCGCCATGGTCGGAGGTGTTCGACCACCCAGGTCTTCTGCCGCCGGCGCAGCAGCATCCTCGCCACTCCGATCCCCTGCCACCGTCCCTGTCAGTCCTCCTGCCTCCTCCCAGTCCGTACTAGTAGCCTGATCCACCACTGTGGGTCGATGCCGACGAGTCCTTCGCTGGCCTGACCCCTGCCTCCGACAGCTTGAGCCCTGTCTCCCTCCCGACTCTTCTCTCCTCCTTCCCGAATCCTGTCTCCTCCGGCTAGACTCCTGTCTCCGCCGACCACCCCTAGTCCTACCTGATCCGGCCGGTGACCCGTCGCTACCCCGCGGTACTGGGCTGGCCTCTCCAGTAAGGACGGAGGGCAGCCGGCGGCCGCTACGGCCCCCAGTCGGCCGGACTGCCGGGCCGGACCCCGGGGTCAGGTCGGAAGGACGGGGCAGGCCACCGGGAGGTACCAGCGGGGGCCGCCGGGGCGCCCGCTGGGCCCCGCGACCGCTCCCGCCCCGCTGAAAACAAACGGAGACAAAACCGTGTAAATGGAGTCCAGAGAGAATGCCTAGCCATTTAGTCGATATTCATGATCATCCGTCATTATATTATCCACAACCAGCAATGCCTAACTCATGAGATAAGCTTAAGTTTTTGGTGAAAATACTTGACTGACCCGTCACATCAATGGAAATGCTGCCCTCCACCTATTCCATCCTTTCCTCTGCCTGAAACACGCACGCCGCACATTTCTCTCACCTGGGGCGGCAGCGGGGCGCACCTCTCGGCCGGCTCCTGGGTGCCCGCGTGCAGCTGATACACGGCACGGGTCGCCTGGCGCGCCACGTGCTCCTCTAACCGGCTGGCGGCCACGAGCGGGGCGTTACCGTGCACGTGGCGCACGCCGCAGTCCCCTGGAGCAGAGGGAAGGGACGGTCAGAACCCAGAGAGAAGGTCAGGTGTCACTTATTAACTAAGCTCACGTGATCTGAAATGAACTGGTCTCATTCTTGAACTCACTCTGTTGTAATGAACTGACATTTTAAAACGGACTGTTTTAGCGCGCAATTCTTAAAATGAAGGCGATACATCTCTTTCCTAAATACGAACTGAAGCAATAAATGGCAATCAGCAAAACATCAACTAGAATCAAATGAGAAATTGTAAAATTGACTTACTGAGCGCCACGTCGATGGAGGCCGTGACCTTTGCCCCGCCCACGGCGGCCTCTCGATGGCCGCCGGGCGGAGTTTGGTCCACCTCGTCGTCAGATGGCAGCAGCTCCGCGCCCTCCGGTGATGGCGCCTCCCTGCCGCCAGCGGGCGCCACCGCCGTGTAGTCGCTCACGGTGAGGCCGGCCACACCCTCCCGGACTTCGGGGAGAGCTCCGCTCACCTCGTGACCGGCTGGTGGGGAAGGAAAGGGTTTTGGTGAGTGTGGTGATACGATGGAGGGAAACGTAACCAGATGGCAATATGACGAGAGAATAATCACGAAACTGACTTCCAGTCTTCCAGTCCACCAGTCCCTTCGTCAGGTGTCCGTCAATCGACCAATCAGTCAGCTACCTATCAGTCTCCCAATCAGCCAGTCACAAAGCCTCAGTAGGTCAGCAGTCCCTTACGTCATAGCAGGCCTAATGTTCATCAGTCAATCCCTCTGTCCATCAGTCCCTCGCTAGCCAGCCGTCAGGAGCCTCTCCAGCCCTCCTGTGTGACTTCAGCAGTCCTTCCGTTTGTCCCTCCCTTCCTCATTCCCCCAGTCCCACCCTCAGTCCCTCACCAGCGGCAGTAAGGAGCCTCTCCATCCTCCTATGCGAGTCCAGCAGCCCCTCGGTCAGCCTGCCGTCCACCCGCAGCTGCAGCAGGTTGTGCAGCCCAAACAGCTCCCCCTGCAGGCCCGGCCGGCCGGCGGAGGCGGAGAACAGACGCGGCCCGGTGCCGCCCTCCACGGCGAGGGTGGAGAGCTGCTGCTTGTACACCTGTTGGATTGATGGGAGGGAAAGGACAGTCAGTGAAGAGCATAGGTGGCTTTAACTGCGAAGAACAGTAGGCGTACGACCTCACACGTAAGTGGTAAATACAACCATAATTTGATCTGATCATTTGACGTAATATGAAAACGAAGGGTGGCACCAATGTCTTTTTTGTAAGAAAAACCCTACATAAACCCGGGAGATAAAATGAAGTGATCGGTAAGTAGAAGAGTATGAATATGCATTGAATATACTCAGAATGATCGTTCCAGCTCCACTATCTACTGACCTGTCTGAGGTAGATGTTCTCCTCGATCGTACCGGCCGTGACGAGTCGAAACACACTCACATCCTTAGTCTGTCCCAGTCGGTACGCCCTGTAAGTAAACAGCACATAAAAAATAAATACACCTGGTCGAGGGATGGAAGGGCTATGAAAAGGAACTGGCAGGACGCGTCACCTAGCAGCGACTTTTCCGTGATTACCATAAAAAGTGAAGCGAGTGATGCATCTTATCCAGCCTCTCACCTGTCCTGCGCCTGCAGGTCGTGCGCCGGGTTCCAGCTGGGGTCCACCACCACCACCGCCGTGGCGCCAACAATGTTCAGCCCCTGACCGCCAGCCCGGGTCGACACTAGCGCCACCGCCCACTGCGGCCGGCGGCAGAACTGCTCGCACAGCGCCGGCCGCTCAGAGGCAGGCGTCTCGCCGTCAATGTAGGTCAGGTCAAACCTGGAGAGGTGCGGGTTAGGTCAACCGGGCACAGTATTAGTCAGGAGAATGTGATGGTGACCTGATGAAACCGAAAAATAGTGGTAGGTCCTGATAACTTTTGAGGAGACATATCAATTGCAATAAATGAGCTCTGCTTATTTGCCTTTGCAGCTAGGTAATTGCTAGGTAATTGCTAATTGCAGCTAGCCTCACCTCGTAGCCATTTCGTTCATGCATCATGACTCAAATGTATTATAGAACTAAAAAATAGAATAGTTATACAAGCCGCAGGAGTGGATAAGCCAACAACCAGTTCCATAGCGCGACGAAAAACTCAAAAAGTGGAAGAAGAGCCAGGAAATACTCACTGTTGATTTAATACGTAGGCTCGTATTATCTTGAGCATTCTAGTGGAATACGAGAATATCAGCACCTTCTGAGATTTCTGACGGAAGTGCTCAATTAAGGTGGTCAGCACCTGTAAATGAAAGCAGGGTGTGATCACACAGTCTTCATTATCATATTGCCAATGTAAAATATCGCAAAATGAATGCTCCTTTGAGCATTCGGCAAACACTCAAATCATGGATATATGAGCAGAGTACATGTCGGTTGATAAGAAGGATAATCAGCGAGACAGAAGATCTCGTCATCAACCATTTACTCCCAAATATCCGACGACCCTAATGTTCCATTTCATTACCTTCATTTTGCCGCAGTATTTCGGATCGGAGAGCGCACGATACGCCTGTGATCGACTAAGGCGAGCCAGTTCGGGAAACTGGTCAAACACTGACTGGCAGACCTGAAACAAGCCGACAGTAGGGCAACGTTAACAGAAGACATATTTCAGACATAAACAACAAACAGAAAATATTAGATGCTACAATTCAGAGTACATATAGTTCCTGCTTCTAGCCTAGCGTGCCCCGGCATCCCTCTTCCGAGCCGTCCAACTAATTTGATGCAGACAGATGCAATTAACTCAAAAATCGTCCCTAACTTTTCCCACCTGTCGTGCCACCTTGTTCTGTTTTACGGAGGCGCCCCAATAGACACACAAATATGTCTCCGAATATCCTTACCTGACGAGCCATCCTGTTCTGCTGAGCGGAGGCGCTCCCGCTGGGCAGCAGCAGACACGGGTGGTTAGTGGTTGACTACTACTGTCCCGTTCCCCGTCTTACCTGCCGTGCCATCCTGTTCTGCTGAGCGGAGGCGCTCCCGCTGGGCAGCAGCAGACACGGGTGGTTGCTAACCTTCATCAGCAGGCTCATGTAGGAGAGCGCTACTCCGGCCGCCGGGCCGGACTCGTGCTGAAATAACACGACAACGCATAACTAAGGAGAATAGCATTTTATCAATTGACAATAGTAACTACATGCGTTACACACATGCCTTCCGCATGGCAACAGTAAAAATGTAACAACGTTTTCCAGTACCGAGCAACATGACATATAAAGCACTCACAGAGCGAGATAAGACCTAAGCACTTCCCTATATTATCATCATCAAACCGCACAGTTTAAGTGTGCGAAATAGATACCAGTGATAAGTAGACTGTCTCACGCCAGCCACCTTACCTTGAGGCAGCAGCGCGCCGCCCTCCTTCCGCTGCCGCAGTCACAGGGCCGGGAGCGGCGGACCAGCAGACGCACATCGGGCCGGTCCAGGACGGCGCTGTACACCTGACGCTGCAGCGGCGACGGCGGGCAGTACACTATCTGAGGACAGAGGACACAACATTCAGACACAACAGTACTACAGACAGGGGGACGGCGCTGTACACCTGACGCTGCAGCGGCGACGGCGGGCAGTACACTATCTGAGGACAGACAGGACACAATGTTCAGACACAACAGTACATCAGCTGCAGACAGGGGGACGGCGCTGTAGACTTGTCGCTGCAGCGAAGACGGCGGACAGTACACTATCTGAGGGAACACAGGACAGCTCATCTAAAGACATAATATATGGCACACCACAGAACACGCCGCCGTATCTGAGGGCACCGGTAAACTTTTATAAATTGGAGGCACACTATGTTATTAGCTGGGGCCTGGGGGCGTTTAGGTACGGTGCCTAATTTTGGGATGGAGCAAGACACGAACTATCTGGGAACAGAAAACACTCTTTGGGGTCATAGTGCATTTCTGGAAAAAAAATCCCAGTCCTCTCGCCTCTCCGTCCCTCCCTCTCCAAGCCAGGTAGGTACATGTCGCTACGCCCCACACTGACGTACCTGATCGGTCTTGTTGGGCAGTTGGTCGGCAATGAGCGCCTTGGTTCGCCGCAGCACCCAGCGCTGCCGCATTGTGGCCAGCAGCTCCCGGCACCGCCAGGACTCGGCCACGTCCCGCTTCACGGCGCCGCGCCGGCGACCGCGCTCTATGGGCCTGGGTACGGGAGGGAAGGTCAGCTCACTATTGCAGCTGTAGGGACGGACGCATGGATTCCTGTAGAGAAGAGCAATTACACCAGTATGCTGCTAGATAAAATACCGGAATAATCGGTCCACTTCGTCGTGATTAACTGACGCACAGCTTGGCTAGGCTAAAACACAAGTGTAAATAACAAGACGCCGAAATAATATCAAACACCAACAATGAACAAGGTTTCCATGTTCGACCAGAACTAAACAAAAACTGAGAGGGCTAGCCAAAGAAATGGTGCAGCAAATAGCGATGAGACGGCCACGTTGTTGCCTCACCTAACAAAGTCGTTGACGAACTGCTCACAGGTGCCGAGACACCCGGGGTTGGCCCAGTCCAACAGACACCAGAACTCGCGCAAATCGTTCTGAAAGAGCAGACATGTCGTCATTCATCCAGCAGTTTAAATTTGGAGTCATTTACATAGCTTCTCAGTACTGAGAAAGTTGTAAAAGATAACGCAATAACAATGCTTAACACACTAAAACAAAGCTCCCTCGTACATTTTCTGCTTGCGCGCAACACAACCGACGTCAGAATCCCGTCCCGCACGCACCTGCACCACCGTCCCGGAGAGGCCGATGCGTCGCCGGCAGTCCAGGCCGCCCAGCGCCTGTGTCACCAATGACGTCACTGATTTCAGCCGGTGCGCCTCGTCCACGATGACGGCCGACCAATCGGGGCCGTTCAGCGCGGTCACGTGGTCCCGGGCGGCCTCAAACGAGCTGAGAACTACGTCCAGGGTCCGGTTCCGAGACGCCCTCAGCACTTCGGGCCTTGGGGACAATTTGAGAAAGCGTCAGAGCCTTCATGGCAGCAACAAAGGAGGCGAATCGGCACCTCCGACTGGTAAATCAAAGCAATTCGTTTTCTGAAACAGGATTGATTGGTTGAATGAATGAATGAATGAATGAATGAATGAATGAATGAATGAATGAATGAATGAATGAATGAATGAATGACAGAAAGAATGCAAAAATGAATGAATGAATGAATGAATGAATGAATGAATGAATAAATGAATAAATGAATGAATGAATGAATGAATGAATGAATGAATGAATGAATGAATGAAAGAATGCAAGAATGAATGAGTGAATGAATGAGTGAATGAATGAATGAATGAGCATTTGAATGAAAGAGCGAATCCGCAAACGTACGAATTTATAATACGACATTCATACGACAAAGGATAATTATCAAATTAAAACGCATAAAGGAACGAAAAACGAGCGAATGACGGTGAAAAAAAAATAAAACGGAAACAAACGATCGAACGAATGAACAAGCAACAAACGAACGGACGAGTGAGCAACCACGTTTGTTCCAAGCTCCGGTTAGTCCCGCTCGCTCACCTCCGGTCCCTGACAAACAGACCGACATCGAACGTCCCCCATGTGTTGAGCTCCGACAGCCAGTTGTACAGTACAGCGGCGGGACATATGACGAGGACGGGAGGTGGACGGGGAGGCAGCAGTGGCGGGGCCACATCGAGCGTCTCCAGACTGCGGAGGAACGGCGGCGTGCTCCGGCCGTCCGAGCGGTCTGGGGGAGACAGCAGGGACAAAATCAAAGTCATGAGTCATGGGCTTCATTTTGCATGAAACATGGGTATCAAAAATATAATTGGGTGTGTTATCCAAGCATCTAAGGCATCAAAACACCTTATACAGTATACACTCATATCTGTGGGAAGGAAAAACGATATGCATATTTGAGTTGACTATGAATTGAGCTTGAAGTTTTAAATAAAAAATGTCAGGGTTTTTACATGGTTTTCTAGTTTTGAATCAAGTGCCTACTGCCTACCATCTATCAACACATCATATCAGAGTTCATTGGGATTGTCCAACAAACCTGATTTGTGCAGGATGGCTGCTATGAATGCAATGGACTGAATGGTCTTCCCAAGGCCCATGTCATCAGCCAGAATGGCACCAGCATTGTCTCTGTACCTGCTGTACAGAAACTGAACCCCCTCCCGCTGGTAGGGGCGCAGATGCTTGTTGATTGAACCTGGCACCTAAAAATGAAAAGACATGAAGATGATGTTAGAAAGCTCATTTACCAAAAATGTCAGTCACAACGTTATTTTTTTCTTTTTTTAATCAAGCAAATTCTTCTTAACAACAGTTGATATTCAATACAACACATGCACATGATTGCAGGTAGATACTTAAATAATCAACATCAACATGTTTCCTCATTGGTAAAATAATCACAAAAGAAGATTAACTACTATGAACGTCAAACCCCTTGAGACCCCACTTTTTTGCGATAATTTTTAAATGCGTCAACTTTCGTTGACAATATTCTGGCAATGTATGTTTCAGAACCTGCCGAAACTTTTGTTACTAAGGTATTTTGACGCCAAACGATTATGGAAGGTACTTCTCATTCACTCGTAATGTTAAGGTCAATTCAGGCCCGGGCAGAGGCTTGCGCTCGGCCACACTCGAGCCCCGCCACCAGCGCCATCTGCTCTAAATGCCATCTACCAGCGCCCGCTACCGCTACCAGCTACCGCCCACCATCAAGCCTGAATGGAGCGAGAGACGCGAGTGACCGGTCGCCGGGCAAGGAGCGCCGGAGGGGTAGGGCGGAGCTTAGCGCTGACGTCATTACATGGCTCCGCCCCATGAGCGCGTAGCCTCTACCCAAACAGCAGATTCGTTCCGTGAAATTTAACATTACGAGTGAATGAGAAGTACCTTTAATAATCGTTTGGCGTCAAAATACCTTAGTAATAAAAGTTTCGACAGGTTCTGAAACACACATTGCCAGAATATTGTCAACGAGAGTTGACGCATTTAAAAATTATCGCAAAAAAGTGGGGTCTCAAGGGGTTTGACATCCATAGTAGGTAATTATACTGCCTGAAATGTTCTGCTTAATAATTTTATTGTTATGGTTACATTTTATCTGTTTGTTTTCCCTACCTGAATAATATGACCATCCTCACTGCCTAGGACCAGACATTCTGAGTCAGTGCTTTCTTGTTCTGTGGAGACGCTCATGATGTCCACAGTTCGAGATTCTGGAAACATACACACATCAGCATCAGCATGGGACCATTATGAAAAACTGGGGAGGCACTAGAACATGTTGAAAATGTCAAATGATAGCAGAAAATGTCTATTCCCAATTGCTAATTGGGAATTTGAATTGGGATGAATCGCACATTCAAGTTCAAGTTTCAATCACCAAGCCCTAATAGGTAATCTCTGTCTAGGGACTCAGGATCCTAATCTTGATGACACCCTTGTGTGACAATGAATATGCTTAAAATAGGCTACTCAGGGCACCTTAAAAACCTCAATGGTACCTGTAGACTGTAAATAATTAATTTAAATAATAGTAGACTGTAATAATTGTAGACTGTAAATGTTCTTAACCAGTACTTTTCCAGCGTTTTCTCTGTCGAAGACTCCACTATGCCTCCATTCCATGCGAGGTACTCTGGTCCCGAACTCGAGCCTGTAAGTATCACCCCAGAGGCAGTCATCAACAAGCTTCAGGGTCTCAAGCCCGCCAGCTCCCCGGGCCCCGACGGCATCCACCCACGAATCCTCTCTGAGACTGCCGAGTCTATTGCCCCTTCTCTGGCACGGCTGTTCAACATGTCCTTAGCGTCAGGTGAGGTTCCATCCGAATGGAAGCTGGGCGAAGTTGTCCCGATATACAAGAAGGGGAACAAACAGCTGCCGACAAATTACAGGCCCGTCAGTTTGACTGCTGTTCCATGCAAAATACTGGAGTCCATCATTCGGGACCTCATTATGAACCATATGGTCTCTACTGGCCAGCTCCACAACGCTCAGCATGGTTTCCGTCCAAAAAGATCGTGCGCAACTCAGCTGCTAGCTACTCTAGAGGACTGGAGCAGGGCGATCGAGAGGGGCGAGACAGTGGACGCTATCTATTTGGACTTTTCTAAGGCATTCGACACTGTGCCCCACCAGAGACTCCTCCACAAACTCAGGGCATATGGGATCGGTGGACACCTGCTCAGATGGATAACAAGTTTCCTGTGCTATAGAAAACAACGAGTTGTCCTGAACGGTTCATCTTCTGACTGGGCCACAGTCAGTAGCGGCGTTCCTCAGGGCTCGGTCCTGGGACCCCTTCTGTTCGTCCTATTCGTCAACGATCTTCCAGGCCTTATGCAAGGCGGGATACAGATGTTCGCGGACGACACGAAGATTTACCGTCCTGTTCAGAACCCCTCTGATGCGGCTCTGCTCCAGGCGGACATCTCCACGGCTGTCGACTGGTCCAGCAAGTGGTGCCTCAGTTTCAACTCCCAAAAGTGCAAGGTTATCCACGTTGGAAAGCGCATTCCATATGAGTCATATGTCATTGGAGACTACCAGCTTGCTGAGGTTGAAGTTGAGCGTGATCTAGGCGTCCAAATCGATCAGGACCTCAAGTTTCGTGAACAAGCCGCTGCAGCGGTATCCAGAGCCTCCCAGATGCTCGCGGTGATTCACAAGTCCTTCGAACGCATCGACGCCACCACGCTACCGCTTCTGTATAAGACCCTGGTACGACCGCACCTCGAGTACTGCAACATCGTATGGGGCCCCTTCAATCGCGCTGACCAGCAAAAGGTGGAGCGTGTCCAGAGACGAGCAACGAAGATGATCCCATCACTGAGGAGCCTACCATATGACCAACGACTACGCTCGCTGAAACTCCCGTCTCTCTATTATCGAAGGCGCCGCGGCGACATGATTATGACGTACCAACTTTTTCATGGGGGTGTTGACCTCGATCCTGAGTCATTCTTTGAGTTGGCTGACTCTACTACAAGAGGACACCCCTGGAAGCTGTTGAAGCCGAGAGCGTCTTCCCGATCGAGGCGAAATGCGTACAGCGTCCGGGTCGTCAATGACTGGAATGGGCCTTGGTAACAACTGGATTTCCATTACGTCATGGGTGATGATGTCACACCACGGGTGACGTTTCACTGCTGCTGCTGCTGTCCACGGAGGGCAGCGTTTGTGAGTGGAAAACAGTAGCAACATTGTAAATGAAGGCAGTATTGGCGCTTATGCTACATATGAAATTTATAACAACATATTGATATTGGTGAATGTTTATTTTTGTTACTTTTCATAAACCCTCCATTTGGGCCTTGGTAACAACTGGATTTCCATTACGTCATGGGTGATGATGTCACACCACGGGTGACGTTTCACTGCTGCTGCTGCTGTCCACGGAGGGCAGCGTTTGTGAGTGGAAAACAGTAGCAACATTGTAAATGAAGGCAGTATTGGCGCTTATGCTACATATGAAATTTATAACAACATAAAAAAAATTGATATTAGTGAATGTTTATTTTTGTTACTTTTCATAAACCCTCCATTTCAGGGTCTGCATGCAAAATTTCTGTTATTTTAGAGTCAAGCTATTGTACTAAGGGATTTATTTTGGCAATTTAGTCATTTGTTAGGTTATAAGGCTGCAGAAACTTTCAGTTGAGGTTGGTATCCACTATCCAGTTGCAGCTATAATTAATTGTGTCATATTTTGTATCATTTTCTGAACATGTAAACACCTACCTATATGAATTCAAATTTTGTGATTGTAGAAAAGCAGTTACCCTCACATTGCAGCGGGGATTAGAACAATTAACCACACTTGTTATACAAAAAGCCTGTTTGCCATCAATTTTGGGAATCCAAATTGGGTATTGGTCAGGTAGATGTAGCACAAGCTGCCCGATGCACGAGAATGGGTCTTTCTAACCAAACCTTACCTAACCTGACCTACAACCTACAGCCTTAAACCTAAAATTTACAACCTACGACCTAGTCCTACGGTATGGCATATCACAACAGCTTGTGCTACGTCTGCTACCATGACCCAACTTTGTGCCAATTCATACCAACTTGGGATGACAGTCACTGCAGATGTGTGCTGACCATGCAGGTCTTTGTTACAATTGCAATTCTATTGTGTTACAGGTTCGGCGTTCTACAGCTGCGACCCGCCATGGCTGGGCCACCGCGGCGGCATCACCTTCAGGGTGGACCTGCCCGTGGCCACCCGCCGGTCGGACCCGCCTGCAGTCCGCAGGGAAGCTGCCCTGCGAGCCATTGCAGAGCTCCCGCACCCGGACGTCACTATCTGGTCGGACGGCTCGGCTCGCGGCGGACGGAACAGGGCGGCGCAGGCGCTGATCCAGTTCCACCACCTCAACAGAGAAGAGACCGTGCGCGCTCCTGCAGGGGCGGTCTGCTCCAGCCTAAGAGCAGAACTGACCGCCATGCGCGAGGCGTTCGCGGCTGTGGCCGGCCTGGAGGACGGGGAGTTGGCATCGACCAAGTCGGTCCGCCTCCTCACCGACTCAAGGTCTGGGCTCCAACTACTCGGCCGCGGCCCAGCTAACCAGACCATGGCCCTGGCCGCCGAGGTGTGGAGGCTGCTGAGTGCTGAGCACCCTCGCCGAGAACGGCACCGAGACGGTGCTCCAGTGGGTGCCAGGCCATGCCGGGCTGGACGGCAACGAAACCGCCGACCGCCTGGCTGGCGAGGCCACGGCGGGCGACCAAGACAGCGCACCGATCGACCTGTCGAGTGCGCGAGCCGCCGTCACGCGCCATGTCCGGGAGCTGTCGCGACAGAGGGCAACCGCTGCCCACCCGCACCCGGACCCCACGCCTGGCCACGACTCCCTGGCGCGCTGGGGTCGGTGACGCTGTCCCAGCTGAGGACCGGCACATCACCGCTGACCCGTGACACGCTCCACAAGATTGGCCCGGAAGCCGACGACGAATGCCCCGCGTGCGGGGAGCCCGACAGCGCGGCGCACCTACTGACCGATTGTCCGGCCTATGAGGCGGCCCGCCGCCGCCGCTCGGGTGCCGACCCTCGCCTGGTCGACGTCCTCGGCGGCCCGGCGACGAAGGTCGTCACCTTCATCGAGGATGTTGGGCGGACCGAGCCGCCGCTCGACCCGCCTGCGCCGCCGCCCCCCTGAGCGGGTTGGCGATGGGATGCAGAAGAAGAAGAAGAAGCAACTGCCAGCGCGCCACGGCGGCGAAGCCGAGTTCCGCCGCTGGACCGCCCGCGCAATGGCCAGCACAGACAAGAAACAACCGAATCACAACACCTACAATTACGTTATTGTTATGGTATTGACATTGTTACAATTAACCCTGCTCTTTCGAGCGTGGATGCACGCTAAAATTGTCGCATAATTCCATGCAGCTTCCACCCTTCTGCAATACAAAGTTTGAATACAAAGTAGTCTTACAATAGGTTTAGAACTTATGTGCAGATTGTCGATGCTGGTTGACTTGATGATTGGAATTGTGTTTATCTGTTTTATCTGTTTTGACTTAAATATATGGCCATGGACTATGGCCTACCTTGGGAAGTGTCTATGATTTCAACAAAACATTTTTCATCAGGATACGCTGCAGGGTACATAGTACATACGTAGTGAAAATTTTGGGCATGTATGGGTGCGCATGTGGAGATGTAGACTGCGAATGAGACGGACTACGACGGTTTTTGAACCAATTAAATCTGATTGACAACATAATGTAGGACTAAAAACTGACTGTCAGAAGAATATTCACAGAATATTCACTTCACCCGGTACAACGAAAAGGGAAAGTCAGGGAACAGGGGCAGGGTACATCTCGAAGATCAATCAAATTGCAGGTGCCGATTGGTTATGGATCATCGTAGCTCAATGTACTGCCTTGTGCTGCTTTATTGATTGAAATTGCATCCAGCTTGTATTGAAAGAAGTCATTATGGAAGATTTTAAAAAGGTTTTTGAATAATTTAAATACTTTGAATTTATATTTCTGCAGAATTATATACCCGTATCATTCTTTTAATGTCAATATTTGTATATTTTCTAGCATTTAAGGAAATAGTGGCCTCAAGTTTTTAGAAAATATCTGATTTTGCTCTCTGGGCCACTGCAGATCCCTAAAAAGTTAGGAGCCGTCTTCATTATTTAATGTATAAAACCAAATAAATTATCACTGCTCAAAAGTGGAAGAAATGACAAAT